ACCTTTCTTGACCTAAGAAAAAAAGAAACAAAATATCCCCCTCTAGTGGTCGAAGGCGGAATAGCAGCTTCCCATTAGTTTCTATGGACGGAAAAGAGGAGATACGGATCAAATGGTTTTCAATGCATTCCTATGGGAAATGCAGATTTGACCTGAGAACTTTTTGACTTGAGAACCGCCTTCCAATACAGATTAAGTTCTCAAGTCAAGACCCCACTGTATTCTTAGAAACTTCGAAGTGTTCAGAAGATGTATTATCTGTCTTTCTAGATTATGAGTTCTGGTGTTTTAATGTGCTTGTATTTTTGACTCAAACATGTCTTAAAATTTGCCTATAAAATAAATAAATAACATCTTTTTACAAGGGCATTTTAAGTAAGCCTACAGTTTTTGCATAACTGGAGGAATTTTTGATTTGAAGATCTGTACCTATAATTTTTTTCCTCACACATGTAAGACTTCCTCTCTTTTTTTATTTAGTATATTGAAGTATGGAACCTAGAAATGATGTCAATAAAATAATGTGTGCAGAATTAACAAGTTTTGGAATTGCCTGGAATCATTACAACAATGAAAAGACTTCTTATGAGATACCCAGATGAGCTTCAAACACCTTGTCACTGACTGTCTTTGTGAGGGAGAAGGTCAGGATGAGCTCCTCCCGACTGGAGTGCCGTCCTTTCCTGAGGAGAGGATGGAGAAGCTCATAAAGCCCCAGAGAAAGAACATATGACCCATCAGAGAAGTGACAGCTCCATGGGGCGAATGGGATGAGAGATATCATGGGATGAGAAGCGTCACAGATGAGAATGGGATGAGAAGCGTCACAGAGAAAACCAGGAAGATAGAGATAGTTCTTGGTGAAGAATCAAAGGTTCAGAGCAGTGAAGGGATGGAAGAGTCTGGAAATAAAGAGCCAGGAGTGCCTAAGGTGAATGTTTGAGTGAAGGGAGCAGAAGACCCATCAGAGGGAAGGAAGGATCCACCAGGTAAGGGAACGTTAGGAGTGGTGGTGAAGGAGAAAAAAAGAAAGGAATAAGACAGGAAGAAATTTTAGATACAATGTGGATCTTGATTGGACTAAGATGTGGAAAGAAAGCTATAAACCAGTAAATCTTAGAGAAAATATCCTCAAAATGTTCTACAGATGGCATTACACACCTATAAGACTAGCAAAAATGTCAGAGGGTAACAGCAATATATGTTGGAAGTTTTTTAAAAATGCAAGAACTTATATGTGGTGGACATGCGAAAAGGTCAAAAATTATTGGACATAGGTATGGGAACTAGCAAAAGAAATTATTCAGCAGAAATTAGATATAAAAACTGAAATGGCATTACTGAATGTCATATCAGGAATTAATGATAATAAATTGAAGCATTGTCTTATATATATACTGACAGCAGCCAGACTACTCTGGGCCCAAAAATGGAAAACCAAAGATGTTCCAATGATAGAAGAGCTGTTAAAGAAGCTATGAGATATAGCAGAACTGGACACTATCAGAAGCACTGCGGGAACAAACAAGAGACTATGTAAAACAAAACTGGGAACCAATATATTCTACTCAGTATATACTGGAAATGAAATTGGGGGAGCAGAGGGGATAACGAGGCTGGAGTCTCTGACTCCAAAGGGGGGGGTTAGTTTAATTTGAGGGGTTAGTTTTCTTTCTCTGTTCTCTTTTCCCCATGTTTTTTATTCTTCTTTTCTGTGTGAAAATAAAAATAATATTAAAAAATACTGGAAAAACAT